AGGGGGGGCAGGGTGTGGGAGGGGGGTCAGGGCAGGGGGTTGGGGTGCAGGAGGGGGCTCAGGGTAGGGGTGCGGACTGCAGGAAGGGGCTCAGGGCAAGGGATTGGGGCAGAAGGGGGGGCAGGGTGTGGGAGGGGGGTCAGGGCAGGGGGTTGGGGTGCAGGAGGGGGCTCAGGGTAGGGGTGCGGACTGCAGGAAGGGGCTCAGGGCAAGGGATTGGGGCAGAAGGGGGTGCAGGGTGTGGGAGGGGGCTCAGGGCAGGGGGTTGGGGTGCAGGAGGGGTGTAGCAGGGAGCTCAGGGTAGGGGGTTGGGGCAGAGGAGGGGTGTGGGCTGTGGGAGGGGGCTCAGGGCAGGGGCTTGGGGTGCAGGAGGGGGCTCAGGGTAGGGGTGCGGACTGCGGGAGGGGGCTCAGGGTTGGGGTGCAGGAGGGGTGTAGCAGGGAGCTCGAGGGTAGGGGGTTGGGCTGTGGAAGGGGGCTCGAGGGTAGGGGGTTGGGCTGTGGAAGGGGGCTCAGGGCAGGGGTTTGGGGTGCAGGAGGGGGCGTCAGGGTAGGGGTGCGGACTGCAGGAAGGGGCTCAGGGTTGTGGTGCAGGAGGGGTGTAGCAGGGAGCTCAGGGTAGGGGGTTGGGGTGTGGGAGGGGGCTCAGGGCAGGGGCTTGGGGCTCAGGGTAGGGGTGCAGGAAAGGTGCGCAGTGCAGGCAGAGGGCTTAGGGCAGGGAGTTGTGGGGCGGGGTGCAGGAGGGGGGGCAGTGGCATGCACTGAGGCCAGGGCAGGCTCTCTGCATACCTGCCCTGGCCCCGGCTCCGCACCACTCCAGGAAGTGCGGCAGCCCCTGGGGGAGGGGCAGTGGGGGGAGACTCCGCATGCCCTTGCTGCGCCTCCAGGTACCACCCCCGAAGCGCCCATTGGCCGTGGTTGCCTGTTCCTGGCCAATGGGAGCTGCGGGGGGTGGTGCCTGGAGGCAAAGGCCCGGGGGCCACAGGGACGTTGGGCCAGCTGGTGTTGAGAGCAGCGCGGGGCCCGCGGGGCAATCCTGTGGGCTGGATCCAAAGCCCTGAGGGGCCGGATCTGGCCGCGGGCCGTAGTTTGCCCACCCCGACCTAGAACCTATGGAGTGCTGTAAATACAGAGTAACCCCACAGAAGTCCGTGGAATTACACGGCTGCGACCGAGCCGAGAGGCTGAAAGCGGCACCAAAGGCACTCAACCAAGCTTTTATTGTCTTTCCAATGCTAACCGAGTGGTGGTGAACAACAGCCCTGGGGATGAGCTTCTGTAGCCACGTGGGCAGGAGCAATGCCCGAGCCTGCCCCCTAGCCAACGTGATTCGCTCCTGACCTCGAGGAGGATGGATTTAGACCTTGGTCTATTTGCGGAGACCAAGGAGTGCAGCTGATTTGTCACCCATCCATTGGGAACTCCCTCAGTTTCATACTGACAATCAAGCTGCCCTCAGAAGGTCAAGACGACGCATCCAGTTGGGTTGAACCGGAACGCACAGCCCAGCTGTGAAAGACCCCATTATCCCAGGCTGTCACTGGCCCTTTACAGACGAAATCGCTGCTGAAGCGAACAGCTGGGGGGTGCCAACAGGTGAGGGCAGCTCCCAAGTCAGCAGTGCCGCATCGCGCGCACATCGCGCTAGACATCCTGGCTTCCCACCAGCCAGCGCTCTGCGGCCCAGCAAGCCTCTTGCTTTCCCAGAGAGCCGCCCCCCTGCCTGGCCTGGCAAACAGCCTCAAGAGTCCATCACGCATAGGGTGGTGGGTGATTTTGTCCATCTGCCCCTGGCCGTGCATTGGGTCCACAGCACATGCCAGAGAAACGCTCGAGGCAGCTACTCCCTTTGGTTACATGTGCAACACTTAGTAGCCAGTGTCCGGGGATGGGCTTAGCGTGCTGGGACCTGGGCACGGCGCACAGATTGCGTCTGAAGTCGAGGGTTTCCAGACATTTGCCATCGACCAGCTTTTCACCCTAGACATGGTCTAGGATGGATTCGCTTCAATCCATGGGCCTCAGGCTGTCTTCTCTACCTCGGTGACCCAGGAGTCTCACAACCAACCACCTCTTGGCATTTCTCAGGGTTACCGCTCTTATCGCCCGCTGGCAACCAACGGGTTAATTTGTACTACAGGCCCCAACCCTGCCCCCCCAAAGTCGGCAGTAGAGGGGGCCAGGGGGCCCTCGCTGTGAGGTGTCCACCCAGACCTGGAGCATGACCAGACGGCACCTACTCACCTTGGAGACAGGCACAGAGTGGGCGCGCGAGCTATCGAAACAACCGGGTGAAGTCCCTCAGGGCCCAGCACACTTGTTTACATTCCTCAGCACTGAAAGACAAGGGTGGCTGTTAGGGGAAGGGAGGGTCCCGGTTGAAGCTGGGAGACGCTACAGGAAGTCAGGCCTGTTCAGGCACCCCCGTCCCCCCGAGACAGACAGCAGCCAGCCGCGTCACAGCCGCTGAGCGGAACTTGACCGACCCTTCTGAACGCTCAGGCGGCCTGACCGGGTTTCAGCGAGGAGACGCTGCGTGCGATTGTGTGGGGGTCCCAGCACAGCACTGGGGGGCGGGAGCTCGCGGGCGTGAGTGGCTCAGGTTTTCCCAAGGGCAAGGTAGGAACGCCGCCACCTGCCTCCCAAGAAGGGCTGGGAGGGCCAGGCTGCAGAGAGGAGAAAGCTAAGCAGGAAAACAGAGAACTGAGAAGGGGCGTTGATGGAATCCCAGAATGACAAGGGCCCTGGCCCCACTCTGGGCCACTGACTTTCTGACTGACGGAGACACAAGGCTGGAGTTTCACAAGGGTGTGAAAGAGCTGGAGGAGCAGGCCGGGACGTGCTGATCTGATCTACCCCTTTACCGCTGGGGAGGAACACAACGCCCATGTGCAGGCCTGGGCAGAGCCCTCAGCCCATGCAAACTGGAGCGGCTGAGTCACAGGGCAGAGAAGCCTGAGGTGAGCGTTTGAGGGCCATGTCCAGACTTGTGAAGGAATCCCAGAACTCGCCCTGCTTCGGAGCAGGGCAGCCAGTCACCTAACTCCCTGCGGTTTCCCCTCCTCTGTGACACACTGCATGGACTGACGGGAGAGGAGAAAAACCTGTTCAGCGATGGAAAAGGAGGGGACTCCAGACCCCAGCGGGGGCTTTCTGCCATTCCCGATCACTGGCGGGACAGACCGCGGCCTCGGTTTGTACAGAGCTTTCAGGGGGTTGGGAATTCAAGAGCCGATTCTCCCCCCAGGAAAACCCAGCCCAGATACGCTGCACAGGCACTGGCGGAGGGACCCCCCCACGATGAAGGGGCGAGAGCACCTGGTCCTGAGACACCTGCACTGGCACTAAAACCAGAACCCTGGTCGCTGGACGCCAGCCCTGTGCTGTAACCCGGGGGGCTCCTCCGGCACTCTGGGGGGGATGTGCTGTGATCCGGATCACCGGAAATCAAAGGGTTAATGGGGGGAGGGTCACGAAGCCTCCAGGGAACAAGCTCCTTCCAACCTCCGGTTATTTCCCAACACTGCCCAATTAGGCAGGGCTGAAGGGCACTAAGGGTATGTCTTCACTACCTGCCAGATCGGTGGGTAGTAATCGATCTATCGGGGATCGATTTATCGCACCTCGTCTAGACGCGATAAATCGATCCCCGAACGCACTCCCCGTCGACTCCGGAACTCCACCAGAGAGGCGGCAGCGGAGTCAACGCGGGAGCCGCGGCCGTCGATCCCGCGCCGTGAAGACCTGAGGTAAATCGATCTAAGATACTTCTACGCTATTCACGTAGCTGAAGTTGCGTATCTTAGATCGATCCCCCCCAGTGTAGACCAGCCCTAAGGAACCAGAGTGCTTGACGAAATGCAGCACAGAACAGCCAGATACCACGGTGAGGGGCACGTAACAATCAGTCCTGGAGTGTGGCTGGTTTAGAACAGGAAGCAAAGAACAATAACCAACTGAACCCCCCCTTCCCTGCCCAATTTGGGCACCAGAATAGAACTGCCCAGTTTAAGAACACAGGAACGGCCAGATTGGGTCAGCCCGACGGCCCATTTAGCCCAGTATCCTGTCTTCTGACAGTAGCCGGTACAAGAGCTTCAGGGGGAGTGAACAGAATAGAGCAATTTTACAGAGATCCATCCATCTTCCCCCCCCAACTTCTGGCAGTCGGATGCTTAGGGTCATCCAAACATGGACTACATCCCTGACCACCTTGGCTAATAGCCACTGATGGACCTATCCTCCATGAACTTATCGAATTCATCTTTGAACCCAGTTATACTGCTGGTCATCACACATCCCATGGCAATGAGTGTTGTGTGAAAAAGGACTTTAAATAAATTTAAATTTCAATAAATAAATTAATGGAGATATCCTATCTCCTAGAACTGGAAGGGACCTTGAAAGGTCATTGAGTCCAGCCCCCTGCCTTCACTAGCAGGACCAAGTAGTGATTTTGCCCCAGATCCCTAAGTGGCCCCCTCAAGGCCTGAACTCACAACCCTGGGTTTAGCAGGCCAATGCTCAAACCACTGAGCTATCCCCCCCGCCCCTTCTTGTTTGCATTAAACCTGCTGCCTATTAATTTCATTGGGTGCCCCTAGGTTTTTTTTTTTTTATTGTGAGAGAGGGCAAATTACTCCTCTATTCACTTTTCCTGCACCTAAGTCATGATTTTATAGACCCTCTATCATAACCCCCCTAAATCATCTCTTCTCTAAACCCAACAGTCCCAGTCTTTTTGGTTTCTCCTTGTACGGAAGCCGTTCCACACCCTCAATCATCTGTGTTGCCCTTCTCCAGTTCCACTCAGATGGCGTGACCAGAACTGGCCACAGTATTCAAGGTTTGGGCATACCATAGATTTATATAACAACATTCTGATATTTCCTGTCTTATTTTTCATTCCTTTCCTAATAGTTCCTAACACTTTGTTCGCCTTTTTTTTTTTTTTTTTAACTGCTGCTGAGCGTTGAGCTGAAGATTTCAGAGAACTAGCCATGATCACACCAAGATCTCTTTCTTGAGTGATAACAGCTAATTTAGAACCGGTCATTATATAGGTGTAGTTGGGATTATGTTTTCCCCATGTGCATTACTTTGCACTTATCAGTGTTGAATTTCATCTGCCAGTTTGTTGCCCAGTTACCAGTTTTGTGAGGTCCCTTTGTAACTCTTCACAGTCAGCTTTGGACTTAACTATCTTGAGTAACTTTGTACCATCTGCAAACTTTGCCACTTCACCGTTCACTCCCTTTTCCAGATCATCAATGAATATGTTGAATGTCACGGGTCCCAGTAGAGATCCTTGGGGGATCCCACAGTTTACCTCTCTCTATTGTGAAACCTGACCATTTATTCCAATCTCTTAACCCGTTACTGATCCAGGAGATGACCTTCTCTTAGCCCAGGACAGCTTAATTTCCATAAGAGCCTTTGGTGAGGGGCCTCGTCAAAAACCACGTACGCCAGTGTTTCTCAAACTTTTGCACTGGTGACCCCTTTCACGTAGCAAGCCTCTGAGGGCAACCTCCCCCTTATAAATTAAAAACGCTTTTTAATATATTTAACACCATTATAAATGCTGGCTGCAAAGCGGGGTTTGGGGTGGAAGCTGACAGCTCGCAGCCCCCATGTAATAACCTCGCAACTCCCTGAGGGGTCCCGACCCCCAGTTTGAGAACCCCTAATGTACGCTACATCCCCTGGATCCCCCATATCCACATGATCACTGATTCCCTCAACAAATTTGAAGAGTTTAGTGCTAGAGCAGGACACTGAAGCTACCCAAATGTCTGAAAGCTGCATGGGTCACAGACGCAAAGAGTAATCTCTCAAAGACGAGCACGGCAAAGGGATACCAGGCCGTGGACTTGATCACTGACCCAAAGCGTTCTCTTAAAACCAAGAGAAACCGTTGCCTATTCCAAACGATTGTCCTCGCTACCCAAACGGCAGAGCAGCATCTCCACTCAACGCCTAGTAATCAGACACCTCCACTGCTTGTGAGAACGGGAGCCATCCACTTGCAGAGAGTTCTAGCAGACATCAAGGCCAACATTTCAAACATGGGGGCTCTCAAATTCCCATCTCAACGTGGGGCGTTATTTTCGGAGGGGCTGAGCAATCACAGCTCCCACTGAGTCAGCCTCTCGGAGAAGCCGAATCACAGGCATCAATCCTTTGACAGTCACAGAACACGGCAGAGACTCAGGACAATCTGTGTTGTAAGTGACAGCGACTGGGTCAGGAGCTAGCGGACCGGAATGGTGCAGCCGAGCACGCAGAGCTCTGCAGTAACTCTGGTCTAACCCTGGCAGCTGCAGACTCCCTCTGACTTGTAAATGGAAGATGGGACTTTCCTCACAGGAGCGGGATGCATGCATACGGGCTATATCGTTTAGAAGTATTACCCCCGTCGGCTGATGCTTCATGGTCTTGCTCATCTGTAAGAGCTTTTCCTGGTTGCCTCGGGGACCCAGAGAAGTGCAGGGGCTGACAGCGGGGGGCAGGTTTAGTCTAAGTTTACATTTAAAGCTTTCCGTAATAAAGGAGGATTTTAGGTTGACCCCTGGGTTTTATCAGCTGAAGAGCCTGCACGTATCACAAAGCACTCTCAGCACAAGAACCCCCAGGGCAGACTCCTGGGGCGCTGGCTTTAGCGGAAGGGACACCTCTGGCAGCCATTGCAGTACAATACACATGATCACCGGATTTGGGGTCAGGAAGGAATTTCCCCCCAGGTCAGATTGAGAGAGCCTCAGGGTGGGGGGGTAGTTCATCCTACTCTGCAGCACGGGGCACTTGTTGATTTCAACTAGAGTAAATGGTGGATTCTCGGTAACTTGAAGCCTTTAAACCATGATGTGAGGGCTTCAGTAACTCAGCCAGAGTGAGGGGTCTGTTACAGGAGGGGGTGGGGGTGGTTCTGTGGCCTGCGCTGTGCAGGAGGTCAGACTAGATGACCACGATGGTCCCTTCTGGCCTTAAAGCCTTGGACGATAGAGTGGACAGCCACACTGAACAGCCCAGTGGCAGGTCTGTTGCTGACCCTAGAGAGGTGCGGGGGGACGACTCATGGTAACACCTTTGTGAACAAGGGCATCCTGCCAACGTGGAGTTCACTCACCTAGTCACCTCCTTGTGAAAGTCCGTAAGTTGTTTGTGCGTCACTTGGATGGCTCCTCCGGTTGTTTCCTTTGGTAAACCCTTCAGTGAATTCTCTAGCCAGCGACAAAATGTCTGGCGTGGGAGGAAGGAAAAAGTTAAACATTTTATTGCTGCAAAAAGAAATCTAGACCAAGTTCTGGGTTCAGGTGCTGGCAGGCCCTGCATCCCCAGGCAGCCTAGGAAAGAGGGCCTATTTTTAAGTTTCATTTTTATGTCTTTGTATTGCCAGAATGAATCATTCCAAGTGACTACCGAACCCTGCACGTGCCCAGATACTGCTCGGAATGATTCACAACCCAGCAGGGATAGACTCAACTCGGGTTGAGCAAGGATTGCGTTCTGTTGCAGCGGCTATCAGCCCTCAGGCACATCAGGAGCGCAAGCTTCCTGGGCTGGCTGAGAACGGAGAATCAACTTCTGAGGGAGGGTGGAGTGATAGGATCTGAAACAAGTCTTGAAGCAGGAAGGAGTGGGGACAAAGTAGAGAGATGGACAAGCCAGCTAGCAAGAATCACTGAGCTAAAAGCACTGGGATTGGAGCACTTGAGGGAGGGGGAGTAGGGGGTGGGCGCTAATCTTCACTGCTGTAACTGAAGAGGACACAAGTTTTTTTTTATTCAGCCTGGTGAAATTGACCCTTGATGTTCTGACAGCTGCTAATCGCTAGCTCCACCTTTCGTTCGATCGCATCCCTTGAATCCCCCTGGCAGGCCAGGGTCTCCCAGTGCCAACACCGGGCTCACTGCAGTCACGCGTTCTACTTCTACTACGGTTTCTTTCTGGGGGCGGCCCAGCCAACCTTACCGGCCGGTCGATCTGCATGATCTCCCAGAGCACCTCGGCGACGTCGGGCAAGGTGTAGGGCGGCAGGCAGAAGCAGCAGGTGTGCAGCAGCTGGCTCACGAGCTGCTGGCCCAGCTGGTTCATCACTTGCCCGATCAGCTCCTTCCGCAATTCAAAGTCCTCTTCGTGCTGCAGAAGGAAGAGGGGCCGAGTGAGCATTGCCCAGCAGGGCGGCCTGGGGCACCTTCCCACCTCCCAGGGCCGTTTGCTCATCGAGGCAGAACTCGCTGCAGTGACCAACAGGCAGGACAGAACAGAAGTTGGATAGGCAGCACCATGGGTTCCTGTGCTGCCAGGTGGCATCTGAGCAGCCTTGCGTAGGCAGGGCATTAACACTGGCGCCAACTAGTCCCGACCCCAGCGACGAACAACCGGCCTTTTGTTGCCTGTGACCTGAGTGAGAGCCAGGAACCAGCCTCGCGGGTCAAGGGGCCAAGAGAAGAGACCAAGCCAGCAGCGTTTCACCCTTAGGAACACCTTACAACGCATTTCCTCCAGCAGACCGCTGGGTGAACGACCCTGCTGGTCTGGTTAACATGGGAACAGCACCGCAGGCTGGGGCTCCCCACGGGCAGGTGGGAGTCCAAATCTCACCTGGCTTTGAATGGTTCATCTGTCAGCTGCAATTCCAAGAGCAATACAGATAAATGCAACGAGCAAAGCAATACCCGAAACAGCCAGCTTCCCCGAGCCGACTGGGCAGGGCAGTCTGGGACCCCACCGCGCCCTTCCCCCCACAGCTAGGAGAAGAACCGCTGGGAATCACTCACATCATTGGCCACCCCGGTGTGGACGAGGTCGCGCAGGAATTTCATGACGCTGCAGTTTGCGTCCCGGTGGTCCAGGGTGGTGGAGGCGATGGCCCACTGCAGGATGGGAATGATCACCTGACTGCGGAGCAAGGTGATTGGGCTGCGCTGGATGAACCTGGGCAGAGCAGAGAGAGATCAGCGCCGTGCGAGCTAGAAAGCAGCTTCGCTTGGCAGGCTGGCTTGGACGGACGCCCCAAGGACACAGCAGCTTTGGGGTTCAGAGGGTTGCCGTGTCCCTTCCGTGCTGCCCAGAGACATTCCCTTCCCTCCAACGCTAGTGACAGCAAGACCCAGGGGCCTCCAGCTCCCACCGCCCTCCTGATTGACAGGTCGGCCCCAGAAGGCAGCATCCTGACTGCAAGCTGTACTGCACTGCCCCCTGCTGGAGACCAAGTTATCCTCAATGCCCAGGGCTGGAACTCTAGTAACGGGGAAGCAGGAAAGTCCCAACCACTTCCAAATCTTGCACTGCAGCTGAAGCACATACAGCAGCTACAAAGGGGCCCCGGGCTGGCAGGGGACTCTGGAGGACGTGCCATGAAGGTGGCTTTCTTGTGATTGTTATTGATGAGTCTCGATGCGTGGGTGGAGTGGGCAAGGCCGTTCTGATAGGACTGTGAGCATTAACGTAAGGGGACGGGCGTGCGTGCGCCATTTGTACAGCTTATAAATCCAAAGGAAGAGGAGGAGTTATTGACGATGGAAGCTCCCTCTGCCTGGGAAGCAATACGTGCATACCCACGCACTCAGCCGCCCGTTGCGCAAGGAGCAGAACTGGCCAGACACAAGGCAGCCGAGGGAGCGCTCAGGACGCAAGGCAGCAATCCGTGTTTAGGCGGAGCGGTTACCTGGTGGCTAGCCGGAAGAGGTCGTCCACGGTGTCGGGGTGGTTCTGAAGGCCATTCTGCTGCTCCAGGAGCTGGAAGGTAGGCAAGCACAGCGCCTAGGAGAAGGGGGAAGGGGATGGATCGTTAATTAAATTCATGAACTCCGTGATCTCTAGAGATGGCACGAGACACAGAGTTCATCCTGGGGTGTAGGCAGAGAAAGGAGGGAAGCCAAGCCAAGGGGGCAGGGGTGCCTGCTCACTTTGCGGCCTGCCAGCATTTCGGATTACAATGAGGCACTGTTGTGGGGGTGGTGCCTGGTGGTTTACAAAAGTCTGAGCTCCTAGATCCGGGTGGAAGTGAAACCAGCGGAGGCAGAGCACCTGGTCGTTTAACTCTCTCCCCATTTCCCTGGTCTCCCTGCATCACTCAGCCTCACCCGCGCTCCCAGCGGGAATACCGGCCACACGCTTACAAAGCGCCTTGCATTTACGGGGTTCAAATCACTTGACAAACAGGAACTTAGCCTCAGGCTGGCAGGAATCAGTCTCCCTGTTTTAGAGACAGGAAACTCGTCCGAGGCCAAACAGTTCTGGGACAAACCCAGGTGTCCTGACTGCAGCCGTGGGGCCTACGCCATAGGACGGTCCCTTCCTTGCCCATACACAAGCTGGGAGGAGCAGTAAGAGTCTGGTGATGCGGCTTTTGGGTTTGGTGACTGGCTGCCCAATGTCTCCATCCCCTCTGCACCTCAAACAAGGCCGGGGCAGGGAACTCCCTGACGCCGTTTGGCGTTTGCTGAGCTGACAGCATGGCCGGCAGGACAGGCTGCTCCAAACCCAGAGCTCCTAGGAAAGCTCACAGCACCAACGGCCAGTCCGCAGACGGTGGCTCAGATTCCCTCACTGCAAAGCGGAGTCTCCGTGTCTGAACCTAGACCGGGGGGGAGCCATGAGCGGCCGCTTTCCCCACAAACCAGCGAGTTGTAGCTGGCGGAGGCCTGGCTTCTCGGTCACTCGCTGGCCAGCAGCAGAGGCTGCGCGGGACACTCACTGGGTGATGGGCCAAGCCGGTACCTCGCTCTATTCTCCTGCACAACGGAGACAGCAAGGCTCAACATTCGTCCAGTGCTTGGAAGGCGTAATGCTCCAAGCACTCAGATGCTGGGTCGGGGCCAGTCGCAGCTTGGCAGTGCCTAGATCAGGGAGCGAGCTGCGCTTTTAGAAGGAACGTTATGGGCTCGGAAGCGCAATCAGTTCCTTATCTCCCCCGGGTGTTTTGATTTCCTGCGCTGGATCCACAGTTTATTTACCAGCACAGGGGGCCCAAGCCGGGAACAGAGCCGAAGGGCGGTTTTCTCCCATTCCGCCAGCACCAAGGAATTTCAGGTGGGGCAGGGGCTGGTTTGGTTTTCACTGCCTGGGCATTTGGCGTAGCACAGCAATCCCTGCCACTGGCACTAACCACGCCAATCGACATGAGAGAAGAGGGCATTTAAACAAAGCGTTCTGTTTACACATAGCTGCCGTCTCAGGGCGCGAGACGTGCCCCATGTCAGGTAGGGAGCACCGTGAGCATCAGGCAAAGGTCATACAGAAGCGCCCTGGGGAAAGCCACAGCAAGCTCGGTCCAACGTCCTCATCTGCACCGAGGGATGCAGCTGCGCCAGCTGCTGAACGGGGGCGAGTCCCAGGGGCAGCCCAGCAGAAATATTATCTACAACATCCGAGTGACTTAGGAGCTTAAGACCCATTTTCAAAAGCGACCCTTGGCAGATGAAGTCCCACCGGCTTTCAATGAGGAAAACACAGAGGGGAAAAAAGGGACTCAAAAGCTGCAGCCACGTGGGATGGCACGGAGCGGGTACCGTTCATGCATGGAACTGGACGTGCCTTCGGGAGACCTACCTGCAGCATGTCTAGCAGCCCCTGCCGGCAGCCTTCCTCCATCCCGTACTCGTCCACCAGGATGCTGCCGAGGTACAGGAAGCAGGAGTGCTGGTGCGCCTGGTACACGTTCACCATCTGCCAAGGACACAGCAAACTCACTCCAGCTCCAAGACCCGCGGCCGACGTCAGCTGGCCCCAGCCAGGCGCTTTACAGAGCAGGTGCATTTCCCAGCACCGGGAAGCCCAGGCTTCCAGACCCCAGTGGCAATTCACTTGCAGCACGGGAGAAATTCTCCCCTGGAAAGGGCCAGCCTGGCCCGATTCCCCACAGCTTGGGATCGCAGCCCGGGCGCTGCCTGAGTTGTTGCTCTGCTGTACTCAGCTCAGGTTCGTACAGCACTCTGAAAACGGGAAGGGCCAAGCGCTAGCTAAAGGATCCCCTTATTGCCTCACATGCTGTGGGGGCCAGCAAAGCTGGAGCTGTCCCCACCGCCTCACGCTAGTCAGAACTCCTTATGCCGGATGTGCTGCACTCAATGAACCAGTCTCCCCCCTGACAGAGGCCTATACCTGGGGCTTCAATGTCAATCTCACTCGGGGCTCAGCCAACTGACCAATTGTGAGATTTCGCTTTCTGCACACACGGATTCCAGAAATCCCAACGGGACGAGCTGCTCCTCCACGAAGTATCTCCCCCGAGGCTCACTCACCTGCGTGACCAGCGGCTGCAGCAGGGCCGCAGACCCTTTGCCAACACAGCGGACAGCAAAGCGCAGGCACCGGCAGCAGCGTTCCACAATGCGGTTATCGGCACGATGTTTGTTCAGGGTCTCCGACAGGACCGGCCAGATCTGAGCAAGGACAACAGGGAGGGTTCAAGGTATTTAGGAGGGACCCCACAACCACCCCATTTACTACAATCCTCTGCGTCCCTATAGTCCCCAACTATTGGCAAGAGACACTCTCAGGTACACCACCCAACTGCCAGGCAACTGGAGCCGTGGGCACCTCCTGGATGGACTCCTTCCCGCGTACCCAGGAACCGTGGCTCTCACACAGCTATTCAGCCATGGATCTCAAAGCACTTGACAAAGAAGGGACTAGAACATTTTGCTCAAGGTTTGCCTTAATTCCTCTATTTGCCAAGCAGAAGAGTGAAAGCAACTAGGATACAAGCCCATTGATTCTTCATGCCCAATTTCCGCCCCCCCCCTCCCCCAGCAGTTTTATAGCAGCCCCTCTTCTCTGATTACAGGGACAAGCCAGCAGTGACTGTTCACCAGCCCAAAGCTGCCCCTGGGGAGACCGGATCGGCTCCAAGCATTCAGTGATGGGGACATCCCAATTCCTGGCTAGACGCGTACGGAGAAGGATGGCCCCAGGCCTGTCACCGATTTTCACTTACTTCCTGTATGACTTTTTGGCACGGATGGGTCTGGCCATTTTCTACAATGGGGTTGGTATGCCTGGGAAAAGCAACGAAAGGGTTAAGTGCCTTTTTAAACATACAAGTTATTCGGTGTTAACTCAGGGCTGATGAAACATGCCCAGATGACAGCCCTGACCACGGAGGGCCTCCATTCACCCCCACCCCCCTGCTGCACGGGTACACCATAAACACAAACCGAATAAGCTTCCCACATCTGGAAAGACCACCTGGGGTCGGGGGGAATTTAGTCTCTCTAGCCTCTCTGACGAGATGATAGACAAGAGGGTCAGTGAGAGTCAACTCTGGGCTGCAGACCCACTGCGTACTGCACACTTCGCAGACAGAAGGAGTCACCGCTGAGGAGGCGGTACTCGAACCGGAAACCAGGTGATAAAGGCAAGGCATTACATAGAGTAACTATGGGATGGGGTCCACAGGAGCCCATCTGGTCCTCTCAATAGCAGAGAATGTTACTTACCTTATAGTAACCGGAGGGCCTTCGAGATGTGTGGTCCCTAACTGTCGTCCACTGTGTGTACGCACGCGCTCCATGCGCCCAGAGTCAGAGAATTCATTGTAGGTGCCATTGGTCCCCTCGTTCCTCCAACTGAGGAGACACAGGGCCGAGCAGACTGACCGCTTTTCCAGTTCCTTCTCTACGGCTAATTCAAGACTGCTCTGAAGCCAAGGGGAAGGAGGGTGGGTAGTAGACTACAGAGAGGGACCACACATCTCAAAGAACCTCCAGTTACTCTAAGGTAAGTGACTCTCTCTTCTTTACGTGCCGGTCCCTGTCTGTATTCCCCAGGCAGCGAGTGACAAGCAGGACTCAAGGTAGGAGGGGGGCATGAGGATGCAGGCAGCAGAGCGGTTTCAGGGACTGCTGTCCCCAAGCAGGCGTCAGCGGGAGTCCTGCACTGAAGCATGTCTCGGGGTGTGTGTGGAAGGAACTCCACGCAGCTGCTTTGCAAACGACAAGCAGAGGCACTACTTGAAGTGATGCCATTGATGTGGCTTGCGCTCTTGTCGCGTGTGCCTCACCCCAGGCGGGGGAGGAAGATTAGAGAGCCGAGGGAGTAAGATACAGCCAGAGATCCATTTGGAGAGCCTCAGAAGACATAGCCTGACCTGGGACTCTTCCCGCTACAGTGATAAACAGCCCGGGAGATTTTCTGACCGGCTTTGTCCTTGTGCAGGTAAAAGGACAAGGCTTGTCAACGGGATGGGGTCTTCTCTCTTCTTCAGATGTGTGGTGTTTTGGAAGAGACACAGTGAAGTGGCCTGATTGGTTCAGGTGAAAAACTGCTTTGGGGTGGGGGGGGGAGGGGGTGAGTTTAAGATGTAAACACAATGAAACTGTGTCTATGGAACCTGGCATAAGGCGGATCCGCCATCAGTGCTCCGAGCTCACCCACCTTCCTGGCTGAGGTGATGGCTACCAGGAATGCAACTTTCATGGGTAGGACAGACATGGAATGTGTAGCTCGGGGCTCAAAGGGAGGCCTAGTGAGGACCCAAAGAACAAAGTTTAAGTCCCACTGAGGAACAGGTTTCCTTACTGGCAGAAAGGTTTGGATTAGACCCTTCCAGAATCTGGTAGTCAGTGGGTGAGTGAAAATTGAGCAACCATCGGAAGGTGGGTGGTACGCCCTGATTGCTGCCAGGTGGACCCATAAAGAGTTGATGAGAAAAGACCTGCTGTGTTGAGGGAAAGAAGACAGTCCAGAATACGGGGAATACCCGGAGCTTCTGGGCATAAGAAGTTTTTGTTGCACCCAGATAAAGAAATGCTTCCGCTTGGCTATGCACCATTTTCTAGTGGAATCTTTTCTACCATTGGTAAGGATTGTTTGCATGGCTTCGGAGCACGAACGTTCTAGAATTTGTGCCCATCCAAAAACCACGCCCTGAGATGCAGTGCTTAGGGGGGTTGGGGAGCCTGATTCCGCCCTTCCCCTGGGGCGGATCAGAAAGGGCCAAATGATGATCGGTGGTCGAGATGACATGCATAGCAGACTTGGGAACCATAATTGTCTGGGCCAGTTGGGAGTGATGAGAGGGCCTTGTCCAGACGAATGTTCTGTAAGACCTGATGTGGGAGTGGTAAGGAAGGGAAGGCAGAATTCAGATGGTCCAACCACAGAAGGAGAGCATTGCCCTGAGAGCAATGTCCTAGGGCTTGTCTGGAGCAGTGTATGTTGCACTTTGTTTGTCAGAGGCAAACAGACCTCTTGTGGAGGTTTCCCATAGAGCAAAACTACTGTTTACCACAGAGGCATGGCCAATAGCCAAGTGCCTGCTGAAGGAGTCCACCAGCGGATTTTGATTTCCTGGAAGGTGAACTGCTGACAGGGTGATATGATTGCTGATGTACCAATTCCACAGCGTGACCACTTCGGCACACAGAGGAATGGATCCCACTCCTCCCTGCTTGTTGATGTAAAAGACGGTCATCATATTGCCTGATACAATGAGGGCTGGGAGACCTGAATGAACCTGAGAAAGGGTTGGGCTGCCCTCAAGTTCCAGAATATCGCTGTGCATCCTGGTTTCTCAGGATGTCCAAATGCCTTGCGCTGTCTGGCTGTCCAGGTGAGCTCCCCAGCCTAAAAGGGAGGCATCTATAGTGACTGTCTTGTCACTTGAGGGGGGGAAAGAAGGGAACGCCTATGAATGCCTGGTGGGGATACTTCCACCATAGTGGAGATGATGTTACTTTGGTGGGAAGAGTTCCTACGGCGTTCATGGACTGTTCGTTTGGGGAGTACACTGTTCTGAGCCATGGCTGCAGGCAACGAAGATGGAGTCTGGCAACCGGTGTTTCAAGCGCAGATGAAGCCGTGTGCCCCAGAACGGAAAGACATTCTGATTGGTGTTCGAGGGTGGTTCACGACCTGATTTATGAGGGCGTTCACCGCTTGGAACCTGTATACTGGCTGAAAAGCCCTTGCTGTGACTGACTTTAGGGACGCGCAGATGACGTCTACAGTTTGCGTTGTAGTGACGACAGACTTTTCTGAGTTTATGCCGACCCCTAGGGAAGACAGGAGTTGAAGCACTGATGAAATCGACTCATAAGCTTCTTGACGTGTCTTGGCAATGAGACAGACATGACACCTCATATGGGCTGCTACTACCAAAAAGAACTTGTTAGAGACCCTAAGGGTAGTAGCAAAACCGAATGGGAGCACTCTTAATTGAAAACGATCGGGGGCCACCATGAACTTAAGACATTATCTGAGTGGGGTGAACGTCCACGTGAAAGCACGTGCTCTTCATATCGAGAGCCGTGAACCACAAGCCCTTTTCCAGGGATAGGATCACAGATGCCAGTGTGACCATGCAAAATTTCAGTTTGTGAATAAAAGTGGCTGAGTTGACAGACTGAGGATAGGTCTCCAGCCACCCTTCTTTTTGGGTATCCCCAAAGCATAAGACATGATTCACAGTGCTGCACCTACTGCTGATTGAGGAGTGGGCCTGGCAACCAACTTGCCTTCCTCAACGGGAGCCCGTAACGGAGCTTCGTCATGTTGTGGAAGCTTGTCCAAGTCCAGGAATTTGGAATAGTTCAGGCAATCATACTTTGGTAACGGTGCTTGGTAACTGGCTATTCTGAACTGAAGGCTAATAGAAATGACGATCTTCCTTCCCAATAAAATCAATGCATTTACCATCAGGATTGACTAGAGTAAGTCTAGGATGCTGCTATCTAGATATCTCTATGGCAGTCTGGACAACCAAAGCATTAGGCGCATGATGAGAAAAGAGAAATTCCACCCCTTTGGCTGGGACAATATAGTGTTTTTCTGCCCTCTTAGGAAGGGGTGAAAGTGGCTGAGGTATGCCGAACTGTTCTAGCTCATTCAGTAACACGACGTGCTATTCAGCTGGGTCCAGATGTTTGGAGAACATCCAGGAATTTATGTTGAGGATCCTACACTTCCTTCAGGGAGATCTGTAGCTCCTCTGTAACCTTACGCAACAGGTCCTGGAACTGCTTGCGATCATTTGGGGTGGGGGCGGGGGGTATGGGTATCGGAGTGACTGCTTCATCCAGAGAAGAAGACAGTCTCCATTGGTACCACCAGATCATGCTCATAAACTTGCTCTTCCATGGG